TGTCGGTCAGAACGGCAGACCACACAATCACACATCGCATAGTACAACGCACATCACAATACTCTGCATCTAGCACCAAGGAAAAATAAGTATGACTTAGAAGAATTGCCATATCCAACCCATACCAGCTTAAAGGTTCCTCCAAACCAACGCGAATTAATTCGTAGCGGATTCATGACGGAAAAATCGCACCGGAATTCATAGCGGAATCGTGAATGACCCCATACCAAAAACGAATATATTCGCATCATATAAGTCACGTCCAGAATGGAAAACGTTGAGTGAAAAAACAAATAACGATTATCAATTTCAATTGTTAAAAAAATGTATTCCTCATCAGATGAAGAAGAAGAACTCGCAATGTTTGCACTAGAAGATGAAAACTTGAGGTAAAGTAATTACTAGCTTTTCCTGAAAATACCGACATTGATAATTTTATGATTACAACTTTATAGGAAAAGAAGAAAATGGGTTCACGATATCAACCTTGAAAGAAGGGAATATGGCGAATTTCATGCATTAATGCCAGAATTATGAAGAGATAAAAAAAGATTCTATATTTATTTTAGAATGCCAATAAATTGTTTCGATGAACTGGTTATACTAGTTAAATGAGTGGAGGTAGTTTGAAGCAGAGGATGGATCCTGCAGTAACGCTGATTGGTAGCTAACATATTCTTCCTTGTTGGTAAGGTTAATAAAACCATTTTCTTCATTTATCTCGGTAAAATATCTTTCAACGAAATATATTATGATAAATATGGGTAGAGATTCAAAATAAAAAGCACTAGATTGATTTTGCATCGAGCATAGCTGAAAATAAAATGCACCTCTCAAAATTTGTTGCCGATTTGACTAGGGAAATCAATTTATCTAATACTACTGAAACCATTATCTTCAGTTCTTTCTTGTTTACTTAATATGGCAAATTTATTACTTTAGATTTAAACAGGTATACTATTTGCAGTAGATTTTAAGTGAAATATCTTTTCTCATCCTCTAATCGATGGTAAAAGGTTTAATTCGATTACAATTGGTATATACGGCACTTAATCCGTTTAACTTACGTTGTTTATTCAATCAATGACGTTTGGATTGTATACCTACTCACTCTTGTATACAGAGACTACAAAACATAGTCTAAAAATGTATATAAAAAACAAACCAAAATATTGGAGCTATAAAGCGTTTCTCCTATGTGATACCAACGGAATTTTATATAATTTTGAAATGTATACTTGTAAAGAAGAGCATCCAGAATATTTACCAAATGTTAGAGTCAGCGGAAATATGGTTCTTCGATTGACCACAATAATTCCAAGAAATGCTTTCCCTAAAATATAATTTGATAACTTGTTTATAAATATGCAATTGCAAATTTAACTTGACAAGTTAGGTATTCCCTCTGTAGGTACTGTGCGTTCTAGCAGATTGAAAGGATGTAATTTCTCTATCGACAAAGATATGAAGAAGAAAGGAAGGGGAAGTTTTGAAGAACTTGTTTACAAGAAAGAATGAATAACTCTTAAAGCAGTCAAATGATACGACAACAAGCTGGTGCATTTCCTGAGTTCTTTTGTAGGGACGTATCCTACAAGTCAAGTTCAAAGATGGAATAAAGCAAAGAAAGAAACCATTCTTGTGGAATATCATAACATTGTAACGTTTTACAATAAATTTATGGGCGGAGTGGATTTGTTGATGGCTTTATATAGAACTAGGATTCGTTTTATAAAGTGGTACCTCCGCATGGTGTTCCATATATCTGATTTAGCAGTTGCGAATGCTTGGTTACTTTATAGGACACCCAGTTACTTGTTATAAGAAAAAAGGATGAACTAAGTGTTTTAGATTTCAAAGTATCTATTGCCACTTGTCTTTGTCAAGAGGCTAAAGAGAGGCTCTAGAAGAGGAGAAGATCCAGTCTATCTATGATAGAACAAGAAATAGAACAGAAAAGGAAAAGAGGAATTATTGCTTCTCTACTGGGGAAAAACAATCGGAAAGACGAAATAGGCCAGTTGACTAAATTTTTAGAAAAGCGCGGTCGTTGCAAGAAACCAGGATGCGTAATTCTGCTAAAAGTAATAGGTAAAAAATGTAATGTAAATTTGTGCTTTACGCCTAATTATAATTGCTTTATGGACTTTCATAAAAATTACCTTTTTTTCCATTGTAACTTAAGTCACAAACAAGTTGCAAAACTATTAAAACAAAGGAAATGAAGAATTAAAAAAATCTTTAAACATTAATTTGGTCCTATCCTTATGGAAGTATGTATATATCAGTAGAAATTATTTTTGCAGTAAAAAATAATTGGTCAGTACAGGGTTAAAATATTATGAACTAGCCGTATCTTATAGATAATTTTTAATAGTCGATATTTTATTTTAATTACGACTTTGCTCCAAAATGAAATGTTTTAAAGTGATAAGCAAGGGAAGTAAGGATAAAACCGATATTTTCAGTAATTTTTAAATATTTATATTAATGTTCCCGACTTATTTGAGGAGGAGGATAAGTCAAATAATATTACACACATCCAAAGGCTATAGCGGGATAAGTAGGTTAAGAGTGACCCTGCGCCGATCAGCAGCGCGACTTGTGCATTCAGTAAAGCATATAAAAACACGACTTCATACAAATTTTTAGCTTCCCAGAGGCCACAGAACCTCTTATATCTAAAAAGTAGTTTTTTTTCGACTTTATTTTTTTCTGGATGCAATTTTAGATGTATTTTCGAATAGAAAATAGCCTGATTTTGTTAAAAATTTCAATTTGACGCTTTAACAATCAAAGTCCCAATTTAACGCTTTAATAAAGATACAATTCGAAAATACGACGTTTTTTTATCCGGTTCGCACTTTCTTTTACCTTACCTCAAAATTAGATAGTTAGATGTATGCTTTTCCTTCTATTCACTAACGGGCTATAAATCATCATTCTTAAAATAATCATTTTTAAGTTACAAATTCTCAAATTGCGAAAAAATCGTGTTTTTCTAATATTTTCCCACTCTATTGGCTCATAACCTTAAAATCTAGTAGCTAAATGATCGAATTTCCGCGTATTTTTGATCGCACCCTTCATTTTTGTTATAACACTTGTCTTTTTTTCTTTATAGTCAAAACTCTAAAAAAACCATTAGCTTTAAGGTTGACCCTTCCACAACAATTGTTTTTATCACTTTTAATCGCATATCACTTTTTGTGCGTAAGCCTTAGCTGATAATGCATATTACCTTATAATATAATAAAACAATATAAAACTTGGACAAAAATAAATCCATACCTGGGTTTAGACATTGTATAAAATATCGTTCAACTATCTGTCTCACAACAATGTTGTTTGCGTAACAATGTTGCCAATCGCCGTGTAATAATCCGATTTGCGGATCTTTTTGAGAGTTATATCTTCTTTGTATCTTTAAATAAATCGGATATTTGCCTATATTTTTCATTGTATTTACCAATCTACTACAACAGACTAACAACAAAAATAAACTTAATGGATTGTAGTTATTTTCTTTTTTTCCTGTAAATATTTTATGGATAACACCTTATTTGAGAAACATCTAAAGGAATGAGGTTGACAACACCGCTCAAATAAGGGCTTGTCTAAAGTAGCGATGACTGGTTTGACAGCAATAATAAAATCGTAGATTTATGTGTAGCTTTCAATTTTTATGATTTCAGAATCCAACAGCCCGCTGAAGTATTGGATTTTTATAATATAATTATTTTACAACCTTTTGTTGGCCAACCACCTACAGCAAAATTGAGCCGAATTTATGTCGTTCAATCTGTATAGTCTAGTGCCAAATGTTTATCAAAATAAATAAGTTACTAGATAATGATAGAACACGCCTATGGGGTATATCATTTCTTTGTCCTAAAATCCGTTGCGAGTTAATATCGAAAATGTCGAGCCGTATTAAAATTCTCGAAGTAGTTGGTCAAATCGATGTTTAGAGTTGAATATTATAACTGCCATAATATCCTATAGGCGCGCTTATCATACTCTATGGGAGTACTCAACGACAATTGAAGTATGTGCGTTGCAGACATTGTCGCCACTGCTTTCGCCTTGGTGTCACCTTCGTATCGCTTTGACTGTCTTAGCCTTATTATCAAATACTCCTCTTCTTCTAAAATCCGTTGCAATATTATCGAAGATCTTGAAAACTTTCAATCACATGGAAAAGTATCGAAAGAATCGAGTATTTAAAGTTATCACATATCATTTTTACATCTGATGTTGAACCAGTCATAGATGAGAATATTGATGAGGACTAAAATGTCTGTGAATGTTTAAACTATTAATTTAAATAAGATCCTCGTTTGTATCCAAATGAATTTATAAAATAATTTTTACAATGTTAATAAAATATTTAAAAAATAATAATAATTGTCCTATTGAGGTGATCCTCGAGATATATCACTTTATGCAATTAAAAAGTCAAAAATAAAAATAATATTGTTCTGAAGCTATTTTCTTGTGGCATTTTAAATTTCTTGTGGATTTGCGAAGTGGAAGTTGAAACGTCAATAAACGTATTTTTATCTTTAATTGTGGCTTATTCCCAGTTAAATAGTACTTAATAAAAATAATGCTTAGAAACAGTTTTTTTTCAAGTTTTGACTATTTACGAAAAAAAAAGACAAGTGTTATAACAAATTTAAAAGGTGCGATCAAAAATCCGCGGAAATGCTGCCTTGTCCATTCAAAAGAACGAAAAAAAAATACATATAAAATTACTATTTAAATGTTAACCAATAATTATTGACATATCCTAAGAAATTATTGAAAATTTCAATGATTTTTCCTAGACTCAATTTTTAGTATAAAAATCAGGCTATTTTGTATACGAAAGATACATCTTCATGAATTTTTTGGTCTATTTGAAATTATTGCCCAATTCGTATTATTTCTCCAATTGACTCAGCAAATTTTATTTGCTTATAAACCATTTCTAACATCGATTATAAATGAGAAGATGATTACAGTATTATTCGATAAATTGTGATATTAATTTTATTATCATCTTCAACGGTTTGCAATGTTTCCTTTTGAATAGAAGTCTTCGAGGTCGATTCAACGCTTACAATTTTTTCCGTGTTTTCAGCTTCAACGTCATGCTTTTCGGAAACTTCGTCATCTTCTTCTTTACTGGAATTACCTTTGCCTTTTTTTTCTTTTCTCATCTTTTCTTCCATTTCTTGAAATTTAAGTGCTAGGTATCTAAAAAATAAAAGTTAACTTTTAAAATTTAAAATTTTTAAATGTTTGTAAAATATAATGCAGAATTTAAATATTGGTACAGAAATGTATCAATTGCTGTTGTATAAATGTATAATAGTCCAGGCTGTGAGGCCGCTCCCGTTGGGAAAATGTTTCTGATTCGGTTTCTTCGCGGATTCCGGTTCAAAAATGTCCCCTTTAAACAAATCTGAAGGGTGCCGGGCAAAATTTTTGGGCAGAAATTGTTTAAACAATTTTTTTAAACAAAGTCCAAAAATAATTTTTGTTTTAATCTGGAAAACGTTTTTTTAGATTTTTTGGGCCATTCTAAATCAAAAAGTTTGGTGTCATTTTTCTCTAAAGTTAATAGTTTTCGAGTTATAAGCGATTTAAAGTCTGAAAAACGCGAAAATACGCATTTTTGAGGCTTGAAAACACATATGTAAATCATTATTTTTGAGGTTACCAAGTGTCTAAATTAAAGTTTAAACATTCAACTTCAAGATTGTAAAGAGTGATCGGGGCTTATTTTAATTTAGACCGTTGTTTTTTAATTGTTAAGTATGCGCGTACACTCGATTTTTCAGCCGCCGCGGCGCCGCGCGCTACCGTGCGCCTCTATCGTACTTATGCATAGTTTACATATACTTACAAATAATTATTATTTATTGAGTACATATTTATTTATATCAATTGAGTTATAATATAAATTTCATCTAAAGTCTAATAATAGTTACATAAAATAATTGTACAAAAGATTGTTAAATAACACACTAATATCACTCAGTAAAACTATCTTTGTTTTCACAAAAATCTAAATCACTTCCACATAATGGTACACAATTGACATGATTTTTCTTGCAGTTGCAAGCATTAGTTTTGCAAGTCTTTTTGCATTTGCACGGTTTCCCAACCCACCATTATCAGACATATAATATCCATATTGTGTAAAATCGAGAGTTTGATAGCGGGAATATATGGCATTTCCCAAATATATGTTTTAGCGAAAGCTCTTAACAAGTGTTGGTAAAGTGCGTCAGAGGTACAAGGTATATTGGCTAGATTAAATTAAATTTTTCAGTCACACTGTCTTTTCGTCGAAAAGCAGCATTTTGTATTGTTATGTAAAAATCTACTTTAGGTTTTTGCGCTAACTTAATATTGTTGAAGTTATTACAAAAAATACAAACTAAATTTTCTTCCGTAAGTTTTCATTTAAGAAGAGGTACCGAAAAAGACATTTTAAATCCATTCACAATTTTTTTAATAACACATTAATAACATAATACCCTTTTAATGGGCATTAAACAATAGTCTTCCTAATGATCGTTTAAGTAATAACAAATCAAGTATGAGCGCGCGATTGTTAAACTTGCATTTTTGCGATAGTATATTGTTTTTAAACACCGCGCAATTTAAAATTAAGTTTACTAATATTAATATTTACTGCATTGTATTATTTAAATAATAATTTAAAAATATTATTTACAATTGATATAAATAAATATATACTCAATAAATAATAATTATATTGTTCAAATTTGGAAGAAAAAAAAACTATATACGGTTATTACATTGCGATGATTGATTTATTTAATTAGCCCAATGACAATAATTAATACCTACATAAATAAATTATGGAAAAAAACTATGTTAATAAACTTCAAGGATTTGTTCGGTTTTTTTTGCGTAAGTGTATATGTAAACTATGCATAAGTACGATAGATGCGCACTCCAGCGCGCCGCGCCGCTGCGGCTGAAAAATCGAGTGTACGCGCATATTTAACAATTAAAAAACAACGGTCTAAATTAAAATAAGCCCCGATTACTCTTCACAATCTTGAAGTTGAATGTTTAAACTTCAATTTAGATACTTGGTAACCTCAAAAATAATAATTTACATATGTGTTTTCAAGCCTCAAAAATGCGTATTTTCGCGTTTTTCAGACTTTAAATCGCTTATAACTCGAAAACTATCAACTTTAGAGAAAAACGACAAGAGACATTGTTTGTTTAAAATGACCTAAAAAACCTAAAAAAATGTTTTTCAGATTAAAAAAATATTTTTTGGAATTTGTTTAAAAAAAATTGTTTAAACAATTTCTGCCCAAAAATTTCGCCCGGCATCCTTCAGATTTGTGTAAAGGGGACATTTTTGAACCGGAATCCGCGAAGAAACCGAATCAGAAATATTTTCCCAACGGGAGCGGCCTCACAGCCTGGACTATAAAACAATCCACAAAATCTATTGACTTACATAAAAAAAAATGTGCGAAAAAGTGAAACACTATAGTGAGAATCCAGAAATCTAGGCAGTAAATTCTTGGAAGTAATAGTGACGGTTCACCGCTATTGTAGGTCTTCCAATGGCGTACGAAAAATGTCATAACAAGATATGACAAAGCTACTTTATAAGTAGCCATAAGTATTAAATAAATATGTACCCATTTATGTTAATTTTAATATGATTGTTGATGATGTTTTAATATGTTGTTTGATAACTTAGATTCGTGAGATTAGAATAGGTCGATTTAAACTAACTTACTTTAGTACGAAAGTTGATAATATCTAAAATAAAGGGTGTCAAAGTTAAACTTTTATTTTTGAATATTTGGTGACAGGCATGGGATAACAACACGAAATTTGGTAAGCTAGAGTTTTTTGGAACGAGAAATCTAAATTTGCCACTAAAACTGATGAAGGGCGCCACATACGTCTTTCAGTGCTCGTTTAATACGTTCAATGTTTTTTATCTCCCACTCGACATACTTTTAGAATCAAAACTTTCATTCTCTTTTCAATACTTTTACTTAGAAACGAGATACTACATCGTCGTGCAACGCCGTATAACCCAATACTTTCTATTATTGTTTTATAAATTTGAGTTAATTACAATAAATAATAATTTTAGGTTAGAAGGTCTTAATTACACCTCCCTAAAACTGCGATAGTCGATGAAATTCGGCTACTCAGGGGTTCAGTTATTCTGCCATCGAAGTAAACATTGGTGGGATGACGATGAGTAAAATACTATTTTGCTGACGTCACGTTGCCTAGCAACCGTTGATTCTATTCGTCGTTGCTATGCAACGTGACCTCAGCAAAATAGTATTCTACTCATCGTGGCCCCACCGCAGGACATGACTCACATATCGATTAGATTATCTAAGCAGTGGACACATATTTTAGTGTTGTGAGTAATATGGAAAAAGAATAGAATAACAAAGCTCCGGGGAGGACGGTGTCGTCACTTAAGCGATAAAGATAGGAGGCTCAGTACTGATAGCCAAAATTCAAAAGCTCTTTATCTATGCCTATGGAATCAAAATATCCCAACAAAGTGGAATAATTTAATAATTGTACTCTTACACAAGAAGGGAGATGTAGCAGACCTGGAAAGATACAGACCAATCGGTCTCCTTAACCATCTTTATAAATTATACACCCGAATAATAACGAATAGATTAGAGACAAAGCTGGATTTTTACCAACCTCGGGAACAAGCTGGTTTCCGCCCTAATTACGGCACAAACGATCACCTGCAGTGCCTAAAAACCCTAATAGAAAAAACTAACGAATATAACCGTCCCTTGGCATTGATATTTGTAGACTTTAAAAAGGCGTTTGATATAGTGGAACTACCGTCCATCTTAAGAGCGCTACAAGATTGCAGGATCGACCACAGATATTGTAATATAATTAAAAATATATATGAAAATGCCACAACAACCATAAGTCTATATTCTGCAACTAATAAAATAAAGATAAAAAGGGGAGTCAGGCAAGGTGATACCATGTCACCAAAGCTGTTCATTACCGTTCTTGAGTATGCATTTAAAAAACTAACACGGCAACAGAAAGGAATATCCATTGATGGAGAAAGATTATACCATCTACGTTTTGCGGACGATATCGTGCTTCTGTCAGTTAATCTGGAAGAGATCAAAGACATGCTCCAAGAACTGAATGACATACTATAAGAAACTGGGCTGGAGATAAATTTCGAGAAAACCAAAATGATGACCAATATGGTTTCCAGCGAAGAGATACAGATCAATAACAACAAGGTAGAATTAATCGATAAATACACATACTTGGGTCATGAAATTAGAATAACCAGAGACAACCAAACCTGCGAGCTAAATAGACGAATCATGTTGGGATGGGCGGCATATGGACGGATGAGAGACATTTTTAAAACAAATATCCCAATTCACCTGAAAAGGAAGGCATTTAAACAATGCATCTTACCAGTCTTGACCTACGGAGCAGAGACCTTAACTTTAACGAAAGCTACTGCCGAAAAACTTAGGGTAACACAAAGGCGAATGGAGAGATCAATGCTGGGCCTGACCTTGAAAGATCGCGTAAGAAATGAGGAGATACGCCGACGAACTGGCGTAGACGATAGTATACTGCGAATCAATAAACAAAAGTGGAGTTGGGCTGGACATGTTGCTAGAATGGAAGATGGAAGATGGACGAAGAGATTATTGGAGTGGAGACCAAGAGCCGACAAGCGAAGTCGAGGCAGACCACCCACCCGATGGACCGACGACCTAAGGAGGATAGAAACAAACTGGATTGCAGCAGCTAGAGATAGAGAGAACTGGAGACGTTTGGAGGAAGCCTATATCCAAAAATGGATGTGAAAATTCGGCTTGATGATGAGTAATATGGAAAGTAAAAGCAGTAAAAGTAAACAACGTCCAAATTTTTTATGGGAGAAAAAACTATTATATTCAATGTGTATTGTGAACTCCGTGAAAGGAATAAAAGTATGTTGGTTAACGATGTAGTTACCCTGCGTAGTTATTTGACTAAAGTGTCGACGAGAAGTGTATACAGAACTGAAGGCAAATTGCATAATTGACCTGTTGAAATTATTGAAACCAGAGATAGAAAACGCATTTAGCTTGAAGATCATACCGAATATGCTATTTGGAGGAAATTCCATGCTTTCTTATTTCGGAACGAAATTCCAACCTTAAAGAAAGTTGAAGTTGAAATAGATTCCGATAATTCAATACCCAAAATATCATGACGTGTTTTATTGCGAACATTAGAACAAATGAACATTAAATATATGAAAAGAAGCAGGAATAGTTTTCTTTTAAAAAAAGATGAAACTGTTTTGTGGCGCAGAAATTACTTACAAAAATTCCGAGAGTATCGTCATGAAGGACGAAAAGTATACTATTTATATAAAACTTGGCTTTATCAAGATCATCATCAAACCAAAATAGCAAATATTCGCGTGGTGTTTAGATGAAAAGGGAGTATAAATGGACACAAATGGCTGCAACCTTCAAGGTCATTCTATTGAGTATATCGAGGAATGACTATTCAGTTGTCTGAAAGTGCAAGAAGCATAAACATCCATTTAGTTAGCATTGGACATCAATTTTAGTCGGTTTGCAACGTTGCCAAATAACTAAGAAATTCGTGAAATATTTTTTGTAGTTTTGGTAACAAAAACTAAGAGGTGAAATAATTTTTTATTAAAATGAATACCGTAAGTGCCTTAAAAAATTAGATCATAGTTTTAAAATTTACGCAACAAGAAGCAGAAAAAAATGTCCACAAGAAATGCATAGCAGAGTGATTTACCTCACAAGCAAGAGCTGTGTGAAAATTGAGGAGCTTCTATCCTCACTAGACTCTAAATAGAACCATTGCTACTACTACCCACTCTAAATAGAACTATTTAAATATTGTACATATTTGGAAAAGCCCGTTTTTCTTATTTAAGAGTTATACTGAAAATATATTTAAGAAGCAATTGTTCAAATAATTAAAATTTGTAAATAAATAGTGTATTTAAAACGAACCATGAGCTTATATTTAAGTAATACTTTAAATGTGTAAAAAAATAATTGACTTACTTATCTACTAATGGTCCAGTATAATCCTCCGGAAACTTAGGAGACAAAGGTATTATATACTTATAGAGCCTCTCATTGAGTACGTATAGCTGAGCAGTAGAAGAGCACTTTACATTGTACCACCAGTCACATGTTAGTGCTACTTGACTGAATATCGTGCCGTTGGGACACAAGAAAGAAGCTTGTCCTCCATTTAGATCACAGTAATGCCAAACCTGTAAGAATAATAAAAATGATAATAATAAAGGTATTCGTGATTTATGTTAAAGAAATACTTTACAATACAACTTGCGTAATGGCAGAACAATATAAATTCAAAATAGGAGTCTAGAACGCAAAAGCTTTTAAGAGTGAATTCTATAATCGACGGACAAAAGTTGATATCGGATTATCAGTTTCAATTCAAGCAACAACATGGAAGAATTGAGCAGGTACATGAGGTTGCCAAAGTAGCAAGAGATGCAATTAAAAAGAAAGGATACTACACTGCAGCCTTTTTGGCTATCTTACAAGCATTTGATAAGGTATGGTATGAGGGGCTGCTATCAATAGTAAAAACTTATTTGTTTCATTCTCTATATAAATTTCTGAGCTTACTCTATACGGCAGATATTATCACAATATGTATTTGTTTGATTTTATAAGCAAGTGTTTCACGAGATTTTCACAAATTTTACCCTAGGTGGCGCTTCTTTTTGTAAACTTTGCCACAGTAATTAAAAGCTAACCTCCTTATTTCTGTTGGGTCACCGAAATGTTTGTCATTTTGTGATTTTAATTATCAAAAATTTAATTATCATAGCAAAAATGTTGCTTAAGACAAGTAAATAATGGTCTTAAGACAAGTAAATAATTATGGTACTTCTGATTAAACACAACAAAAAAGAATTTCAAATTGAATATATTCAGAACTATTATTTTCATTACACGAAAATCTTTATTTAATACGGTTATATTTTCTTTAAAAGTGATACTGTTGTTATTTACGTATATGTAAATGTGTATGATAAGTGAGTTATTTGTGAACTGTTGAAAACAAATTTTGTACAAAATTTTTAAATAAAGTGGTAGCAGGAATGTTGTACATTACTGGTGAACTTCCTTGGAGTCAGGAAACGGCTAAATAATAAGTCCCTGGAACAACTTTATTCATCTATACTGGTTTGCAGTTTTCCGTTTGCAGTTAAACTTTTTTCAACTGAAATGTTAGTTCCATATGTCACAAATGTGTTTAAATGGAGAATGAATGGTAAGAGTCAGTATTGCGATATATTTTCATTTTGAATTTACAAAATTTTCCATATTTCGGTAATTTTATGAAAGTAGCTTCAAAGATAGCGTGTACATCCTTATATGTTTCACAAAGGACTTTCTTTTTTTCCTTTAAATGCACTGTTTTCATACCTTTTCTCCTAGATTCCCTTTTCCTCCAATGAAAATTAAATAAAAAAAAGAATTCTTGCTTTGAAATTTTAAATGGACCAATCAGAAAATAGTAACAGTTTTGACATTTAGAATAAATGTACTTTTGATATAAAATTTCGACATATATGCCTAAATTGTTTTTTAATTTTATTATTTAAATAAAATTGAATATTGCAATTATATTTAACACATTCTCTACATTAATTTATTTTTGAGGATGCTTTCTTTAAAATTTTACAGACATTTAAAGTTCTTCATGTCACCAAAATTTATAGTTTTTATTCTTCTACAAATTAAAATTCACAATTAGTATAAATTGAGTATTGAAATAACTTTTTTATTGTTTATAAAGATTTTACCAATTGATTTTGCATTAATTATTTGCCTGAAACTTTACTTTTATTGGTTCAAACTTATATACAGTTTTAACATTTACCCAAAATTATGGCTTAAACAAATCATTTAATGAACCCCCTCTGTGGCTCAGTGGTAAGAGCGCCTACCTTTAAACCTAAAGGTCGTGAGTTCAAATCTCATCTGGGTGGAGAAATTTTCGTTTATTAAAAAAATTAATGAATGAAAATAATTTCTATCATTGTGCGATCAGTACCCACCGGAGGGACCGCAGACGTTCGGATATAATTAGCGTTTCTTAGCAAAGACAATGACGTCGACTTTGCTAAGTATCAAGACAACTACTCTACACACACACACACACACACACACACACACACACACACACACACACACACACACACACACACACACATACACACACACACTACACTGACTGTGCCATGCCAATGATCTTAGTTGTCGAGGCATTAACTCAATAATAAAAAAAAATCATTTAATGATGCTTTCTTAAATTTTAGCTAAATAATTCTAATTTGGATCTACCTATTGCTTTGTATTATAAGATTGAAGTCTGGTATAACTTAATTTCATATATGTACAAACTAAATTTAAAAATATAGGATGTAGGTATCCTGCCAACGAAAATGTCTCTCCAAACTACATCGAGAAACTTTGAATGTTTGAACAATCAATCATCTTTCAAAGATATAACTTATGCACATAAAACTATAGATGTAACTTATGCATTAAATTGAAAAGAAACTTCTTGGTATTGCACAAATTTTAAATAAAAATATGTCTAGTAAACACAATTTACAAGTTCTAATATTACTTAATCAGAATCCTTTATACAGGGTCACTCATTTGGAAAGTTATGTCATTTGAATTCATCATCAGCCTCTCTTAATCCACTGCTGGACATAGGCCTCCCCTGTTTGTCTCCAAAGTGTTCTATCTTGTGCTTGCTGTATCCATTTTGTTGTTGTCTTTCGTAAGTCGTCTTGCCATCGTGTTGGTGGTCTTCCTCTGCTACGTTTATCGGCTCTTGGTCTCCATTCAACTAGTTTGCAAGTCTGTCTTCCGTCCTTCATTCTGGCAACGTATCCAGTACATTTCCATTTTAAGTTACAGCTTCATTCAATGACGTCTATGACTTTGGTCTTAGCTCGTAGATATTCATTTCTAATTCTTTCTCGCAGAGTGGCCCCACACCATTCTTATCTGCGCTACTCTCAGTTTTTGTGCGTTTTTCTTTGTGAGCGATAATGTTTCTGCACCATATTACCGGTAGCACGCATTGGGCGAAAACTTTTTTCTTTATATTAGTTGGGATGTCACTCTGAAAAACGTTCCTAAGAGCTCCATATGCTGCCCATCCTTGTATTATTCTTCTGGATACTTCGGTTGTTTGATTGTCCTTACTTATCTTAATTTCGTGACCCATATTTATATATTTGTCTACCAGTTCTATTTCTTCATTTTGTGTTTTAAGGTGTTTACTTGGTACTAAGTTCGTCATCATATTTTGTTTTTGTTATATTCATTTTTAAACCTATTTTATGACAGGCTGTAGTAAGTTCTTTCCAACATTTTCTTTGTTTGTTTGGTGTAGCATCTCTCCGTCCACATTTATTCCTTTATCACCATATTCGAGGGTTTTGATCGCTTTTCTAGAGCCGATATGAAAAGTTTAGGTCACAAACGTATCACCTTGTCGGATACCTCTTTGGATTTTTATTTGGTTGCTATTAGCGTGTAGTTGTATCGAGCTTGTCGCATTTTTATATATATATATATATATATATAACATATTAGCCTTAAATATCGGCTATCAATGCGGCTCTCGTTTAGTGCTTTTATAAAAGTGTCGAATACTGAGTTGAATACTTTGTGCAAATCTACGAATGGTTCAAACTAAGGGCTTGTTATATTCTATAGATTTTTCTATGAGTTGTTTTATTGTTTGGAGGTGATCGTCCAAAGTTTGTTCTGAATCCAGCTTGTTCTCTACTTTGATATAGGTCTAATTTCTTGTCTAATCTTGTGGTGATTACTCTCCTGAAAACTTTATAAAGATGAAAAAAAAAAGAGGTTAATCTTTGTAAATGGGTATATTTATTTAAAAAACCCTTAAAAGGGCCACATCAATAGAACAAACGTTTTCGGACTACACAGTCCATCATCAGGTTATTAAAATCGAAAATGCTAGGTCATAATGCCTGAGCCACCAAAATATTAGGGTAAAAACCCTTTAAATTACATTTAGTTATGAAATGTTGTACATTGTGTTATAAAATAACTGTGATGTTCTATATTAAATTAAATTTGACCAAAGGTAACACACTAACTAACACACGTGGAACTTGTTCCACGTTGTTCTCCGAGTGCAGAGGTTGTCTCTCGCCCGGCTCTGGAACCCATTTGAGCCATGTGTTACCTTTGGTCAAATTTAATTTAATATAGAACATCACAGTTATTTTATAACACAATGTACAACATTTCATAACTAAATGTAATTTAAAGGGTTTTTACCCTAATATTTTGGTGGCTCAGGCATTATGACCTAGCATTTTCGATTTTAATAACCTGATGATGGACTGTGTAATCCGAAAACGTTTGTTCTATTGATGTGGCCCTTTTAAGGGTTTTTTAAATAAATATACCCATTTACAAAGATTAACCTCTTTTTGTTATACGTGGTATACAGCCAGCTACAGAATTTTTCCTTGTGGATTTTATAAAGATGGTTTAACAGACCGATTGGTCGGTAATTTTCCAGATCAGTTTTTTCTCCTTTTTTTGTGCAGAAGAATTGTTTTGGCTCTATTCCATTCAGATGGTATGGATTTATTTGTCAAACATAGATTAAAGAGATCTTTTATTTTCCTCATTAGAGGTTTACCGCGATTCTTAACAGCCTTGATCACAATTCCATCGTCTCTTGGTGATTGAGTTATCTAATTTCACTGAGAGTTATTTCTGGCATGAGTTCATAGCCTTGATTTAATATTGATTTGCTTATTGCATCTTTTAGCTGCGTTTGGTTTATCCGTCTGCTTTTATAACGTTCTCCATAGAAGTCTTCTCTTCTTCTTCATGTGCCTTGTCCGTTCCGAACGTTGGCAATCAACATGGTTATTCTTACTTTATTTACGGCAGATCTGAATAGTTCAGCAGATGACAATCCAAATCATTGCCGCAAGTTTTGGAGCCACGAGTGTCTTCTCCTCCCTGGACCCCTTCTGCTGTCTATTTTCCCTTGAACGATCAGCTATAGTACTCTATATTTATTATTTCTCATAACGTGACCCAAGTATTCCAAGTTTCTTTTCTTTATACTTATTCCTACCTCTCTCTCTTTACCTATCCGGCGTAGTACCTCTTCGTTGGTCACGTGCTCATTCCAGGATATACGTAATATACGTCAGTAAGC